TATTTAATAAGAACAATTTATAAGAAAATTTAATTTGTTTCAACAGAAAGGACACTACCACTCCTCTTATATAGAGCTACCTTTATTATATTCCTCTTATATAAATATTTATTTTTAAATTTAAATTTTATTGAATAAATAGTGCTTATCTAATATAGAAATTTTTCTCAATTTTGCTTTTTAATTTGAATTTTAATATGTGAAATATACATTAAATATAAAAATATTTTTTATTTTATTTTTTTTTTAATTTTCTTTTTCTTATTATAAAGTGTTTTTAACACAGATATACAATTTTAAGATTTTTTAAATCCTTTTTAAGGATTTTTCACTTAGATTAAAAATTTTTTGTTAATTAGTAGAAAAAATTGTTTTTAATTGCAAAAACGAAACCTAAAAAGTACAAAAAGGGTTCAAACTTTTAGCGTTTTTAATTCTTGCACTAAATTTCTAATAAAAAATATCGCAATGTTTTAATTTTATCAAATATTTTATAAAACATAAAAAGTATTCCGATTAAAAAATATTAATAATTTTCATTGTTTTATTAAATTATTAACATGTTTTTAATGAGAAACCTATTAATTGTTTTTTTCTTATATTCAATTTTAATACAAGTTAAAATAATTAATATCAATAATAATAAAGTAAGTCGAATTAAATGAAAATATGCTAATTTTATTAAATCAAATGTTAAAATTTAATTTGTTACGTTTATTTACAAAATATCAATAGAATTTTATTTCAATTTTTTAATTATTTAAATTAACTTAAGCTAATTTTCATATATTTAAAAGACAATTATATTACATTTACCCTGTAAGATTCTTTATATCCAAAATTATTCAAAAAATTTATAAATTTTTAACACAGAAAGAAGCTCCTCTATTACATGAATTTTATTTTCCATAAATTTTGAATTTGAATAAAATTGCTAAATGCAAAATATTCTTTTCAATGAGAGTGCTGTAAATTTTTTTCTTGAAATAATGAAATTAGAAAATTTCATATCAGACTTGCTTATTCGGACGGCCAGTGATCTTTCCTTTTTTTAATTTATTGTTTATTATGATGTTCGTTTATAAATTATTACCGTATCTAATCACAAAACAATATTACAAAAAAAAATATTGTGAAAGAAAATGTGGATTTTCGATCATTTAATTAAATTTTAAAAGTCTTTTTACAAAAACTTACAAATCTGCAGAAACTAAGTATTTTACTTTTGCAAATTTGTACATTTGAGTAATTCTTCAATATCCAACATTTTTCTATTATACTCTTCTGCTAATCTCTTTTAATTTTTGTAGTAGTTATAAATAAAATAAAAAATTCCCTTAAAACTTTAAGCAGAAAATTCATTTTAGAACATGCTCTTTCTGTAGATTTGCAATTTGGGTTTATCGAGCGTGCTTTATATTAAGATCTATGTTAGAACTGAATTATCGAAAATCTTCAATATTTTTAGTATAATTAATTAATTATCTTTGAAAAGTTTTCTAAAATAAAAAAAATACTTTTAAAATTTCAAATTTAATTGATTATTTTTGGTTAATTTAATTTTAATAACCAAATTTAAAAGCAAAATATTCATTTTCATAGATATTTTAAAATGTTACCTTTAAAATTCTACACATTTTTTTGTGAATTTAATTTTAATAATATTGAGACTTACTTACACTCTAGAGCTTAATAATTTTTTATATTTTTATTTGTAATTGAAAATTTTATATATTTCAATAAATCAATTATTTCATTTTAATAAAAATCTTAAAAAAAATAAAAAAAAATTAATTTTAAATTTACAAGACTGAAATTTTTAATGAAACAAAATCTTAATAAAATAAAAAGAAAATAATATAATTAAATAAAAATATTTACAATATTAAATTAAAAATTCAATTCTGCATGCTTACTAATTAATTTTACAATTTTAAGAATCTTTAATACATTTTAAATGTATCAAGATTCCCAGACTTTTCATTTTTTTTTTTAATTACAGCTCCATTTCACAATTGGAGTATAATCTACACCATAATTTTTTATATTACATATTAGGACTTAATCCTATACAATTTAATTTATGAATACTTAACAGATTTAAAAATATACTAACTTTAATTTCAAAAAAAAAAAATATTAATGTTTTTCGAACAAGCAATTGTGAATTAAAATTATAATATGACTTACATATTAATGCCAATATTATTAGCATTCACATAAATTTCGACGTTCGTAATAGTAAAATTTTCCAGTTCTATGAAAGAAATTCTATAATAAAATTTCAATGTTTAGTAACTGGTTGAGCTATCTGCAACTAAATTCATGTTTCTTAATTATTTCATATCAAGTTACAAGCAACTATAATCTCTTAAATATTTTTGAAATAATGTTTCCTTTGCTTGGTTTCTAATTTATTTTAAAATAAGAACTTAACTAAATGAATTAATCGTGTAAAAAAGTTATGTTTCATACAATATTAAATTTTGTCCTTTATTAACCCACCTAAAAATAAAAAAAATTAAAAAATATGATAAAAATTAAAACTCAATTTTTTTTAAAATTGGAAAAATAAAAATTTATAATTTATTCCAAATGAAAATTTGCAAAAATATAATATAAATGTAAAATAAAAACTAAAAACATACAATAAAACAAAAAAAAAAACTATACAATATTTATTTATATAATAAAAATTAAATGTATAATTAAATATTTTTTTTTTATTGTACGCATGTACTTTTCAATTAGAATTAGTATATTGTTTTTGTTTTTTAATTAATAAAAATAATTTTTTTTAAATGTTTTATTTGTAAATTTACGTATTATTATTTTCTTATTTCCTTAACATTTTTAAATTCAATTAAAACTATTTATTCTTAAAATTGAAAATTATTATTTTAAATATATAAAAATTATAAACAGTACAATCCAATTATAATAATATTTTTGTAATCTTATATCAATATAGATTTATTATCAAAATTTAATAATATTTTAATTTGAAAAATAAAAATACAATATTAAACAATTCAGAAAAGAAATTTATATAATATAAATTATTTATTTTTTTTTTTAATGCGTTTCATCAATTGCAATTTTATAATTTTTATATTTTAATTCTATTGACAATTTTTTAACATTTTTGTACAAATATATGTAAATTAAATTTCAATTGAAAAAATAATTAATTTCTATTTTGAAAGAAATTTGAAAAAGTAAAATTTATGAAGTATTTATATTTTATTTTGTCTGGTTAGAAGTAATAAATTTATATTTTTACTTATTTTTACTTTTCCATACATATTTTAATATTTTTTTTTATTTTTACTTAAAATTAATATACATGCATTACACATATATTAATCTTAACTCATAAATTATATATTATATAATAATAATATATGTATTTAAAATTTTAAATTATACTATTTAAATTATTATTGATTGTTTTACACACTAATTTGTGTTTTAAAAATTACGATATAATGGTGTGTATAATTTGAAAAAAAAACATGTAAATATTTTAAGACATCAATTATTCAATTTAAAGAAACTAAGCCAAAAATAATTAATTTGCTTGAAAATTATTGCATAATTATATAATTTAATTAAAAAAATAATCAATTTTATTTAGATTAAGAAAGATTTGTATTTTAACATAAATACATTTAAAAGAAGAAAAATTTGATACATATGTTAAAAGAAATAGTCAAAATAAATTTAATATTTAAAATTTACAAAATTTTTTAATAGTTTTTATAAAAACAAATTCAAAAATTTAATTGACGTCCTAAAATTATAATGTTTTTATTATATATTTTATTAAATACAATAGGATAATTTATATAACATATTGAAAATTTTTAAATTATTACAAATTTTCGTACTCATATTTTATATACATATATAGAAATTATTAAAATTTTATTTTTAAAATTAAAAGTTTTAAATATTGAATTTTAATAAAAGAAATTAAATTAGATATTTATTTCACAGATTACTTTCTTTTCTTGTATTTGTTTTTTTTAATTATTATTAAAATCTTAACGATTATAACATTTTTTTTATAAACATATATATATATATATTCTTAATATAATAATTAATAGTTAATTATGTTAAAGATTTCAATAAAATTTATATTTTATTTATATTAATGTGTATATATAATTTTTATATAGAAATATGTATACTTTTCAAGTATATATTTATATAATTTTTTTATTTTTTTTTTTTTATTTTATATTCAAATTTATCACTAAATGTTTTTTTAATCTTTTTAATTTGTATGTGAATTCTTATGGAATAAAAATTTTGATTAATGCAATATTATATATTATCTTTTGAATTTATTTATAATACAAAATAAAAAAAAAAGAAATATCAAGAAATTTTTAAATATAAAAAACAAAAAACAATTATTTATAAAATTTTGATTACTATGCAAAATTAATATTAATTAAAATCAACTAGTATATAAAACAAATTCATAATATATTTATTTATATGTGTTTTTTTGAAATTTTTTGTATAATTCTAATATAAAAATATTTTATAAAGAAGAACATTAAAAGATGATCTTTTGACTCAATATATTTTTTGTAAATTATATTAAATTTTTATTTTTGAGCTAAATTTTCCTTTAAAATAATTTGATAATAGTTTCTCTATCGTACAAATAGAAAATTTATATAATTATTTTTAAATACATAAGGATATTATCTATTTAAATGAACCTGTTTTTAAAATATTTCGAAAAAAAAATTAAATTTTATAAATGTTTTTTTTTTGGCAAATATTTAAAAAAAAAACATTGTTAAATTAATTTTAGAGTCGATAAATTGTATTTAATGAATATATGATTTTTAAACTATATTTAATAAAAAAATTTTTTTATTGCTTTAGTTTAAAATTCGAATTCGGAATAATAATTTACTTTTAAAATTAAATTACAATTGAACTTGAGATTTACATGAAATTATTTGTTATTTAACATAAATGTAATTACATAAACATAATGTAAATAAAAATTATTAAAATTTTATTTTTTTTTCGATTTGCAAGAATGCAATTTAACACAAAATTTTGATAAAAATAAACTTAATGGAATAAAAGCCAAAGTTTAGAAAATTATTAATATTGTTAAAATAAATTTGGTCTATTTATAATTATCTAGTTTATATTTTTTAATTCTTTTATTCTTCTTCAAAATAATAATAAAAGATTAATATTATTTTTGTGTCTTAATTAAGTACATTATATAGTATAAATATTATGTATACGTATATATGCATATATTATTTTTTTTTGTATTAACATATTGGCTGTTGATTATGTTTGAAATCTTGTTCCAGTAACTCAACTATTGACTGTTCTAATGATTTATCGCCCATCAAACGAAAGAAGAATAAATGATCCAAACATTTTAAACTAATCGAACGTAATGCTGGTAATCGTAACAATAATTGAGCAAAACGACTATCATCACCTGGATGTTCATTGCGACAATGTTCATCAAGACAGGCGTAAATCTAAAAAAAAAAAATTGTATTAAAAATTAATTAAAAAGGAAATTTTAAGAGAATATCAATTTTTTCACATTTTACATACATATAAAAAGTATAATTTAATTTTTATTTTTACCTTTTCTCTACAAACTTCAACTTCTTGTCGACATTTAAGACCTCTTATATCTAAAAAGAATTTAAAATTTTTATTTTCAAATTTGAAAAAAAATCAAATAATAATAACAAAATACCTGGATTAAATAATATAATTGCCATTAAACATGATAATTCTGAACGATCAATATTTAAACGTTTCATTTTAACACTTAATTCCCCTAAAATCCTATCAAATATTGGTGCAACACCAGCCTGTAACGCACTATTACGATGGTATGTAAAATTTTGTGCTAAGCACATTTGTTGTGGTTGACGTAATGGTACTCGACGATCTGAAGAACCATCAGGTAAACACTCTAAATCTAAATACTAAAAAAAATAAAATGAAAAATTCGAATTAATAAAATTATAGACATAGATATGTATGTAGAAATGAAAATATACAAACCTCTATACTACGCCATGCAACATTTGCAATTAATAATTCATTCCATCCAGCCTTTAATAATAATACTTGATCATCCAATTGTAATTTTGAAAAATACGGCATTCTACGAGCATATTCGACCATTTGATATAATTGTTTATTAACCATTTGGCATAAATGTGAAACGGCACCCTTAAAAAAATAAAAATCATAGTAAATGTAAATATCATAGTCCATTTTTTTAAATTAATTTAAATAAAATTAGGGCATTGATAACCCCTACTAACTGTAAATTACTTACACGAAACTCATTTTGTACCATTGAATTTGGTCCAACTCTTAAAAATGGTATCGCATTATCTCCACTAATAATTTCAGCTTGTTGTTCAGCATCAATAATTCGTTCAATTGTTAAATCACGTACAGAACTTGTTATACTATTAATATCTTCAGTTTTTATTTGTGGTACTTTAGCGGCACGTTGTCTTTCTTCTTGTACAGCTTCACGTTTCATACCCATAGCTAAACATTTTTGATAACGACAATATTGACAACGATTACGTTGTCTTTTATCAATTATACAATTTTTATCTTCCCTGCATGCATAGGTCAAATCTTTACGTACTGTTCGTTTGAAAAAACCTTTACAGCCTTCACAACTATAATTAAAATTAAGAAAAAAACAAAATTAGTTAAACTCTTTTTTATAAATTAGCAAAAAATGGTTTGAAAAGAAAATTTATTTAAGAAATTTACGAATTCAAAATTTTTTGAATGAGTAAAAACAAAGCTGTCACAAAATTATTATGAAATTTGACATTCATGATGAAGGCATGAAAAGCCATTTACTCTTTTCATGTTACTGTCAGTATGTCAGACGTTATATTTGAAGTAAAGTTTATTGCAAGTGACTCTTTGACATTCAATTTTCCTTCCAATCTTAATTGAAGTCTGATTAATATAAAATTATGCAAGTTGCAAATAAACTAATCATCCATAAAAGTGGATTTAAATCTTGCTGAATTTGTTTTTGTATCTCCCTAAACACTCTCTATGGTGATGCTAAATCATTTATTGCTTCTTGGACTAATGAAAAATTCATATTGAAAAAGCGCTACAGCCAATTATTCTAAAATAAACTAAAATTAAAATGCGAATATCATAATTTATATTCGAAGATCAAGTATTAAAATGCACATATTGCATCGAAATTAACAAGTAACACCATTGTATACCTTATATTTATAACCTATAAAATGTCTATGCGATCTTAAGGTACGCAAAATGCATAAAAAAAATTTCAATTTCTTTTTTATCCATTTTTTTCACATCAGACGCATTTTAAATTTACTTGTCTTTATTTTTATTTATTTAATTTTTTTCTCTTGAAAAATTAAAATTCATTGTTGATACAACACGATTTTAAAGAAAAAAAGAAAATTGAATGCAGTTACTAATTGTAGACCTGTCATAAAATTTTGACTTGATCAAATAATGTGTGTTTTACACATTTATGAAATTTATGATCACATGCCAATTTTTGAATAGCAAGACTGTATTTTCTTCTTTCATTCTTTTATAGTTTTTAAATTTAAAATTCACATTTTGTATGTAAACATTTTTATTTAACAGCATTATTGTAATCAGTTGGGTATACGCTAATTATTAGTGACCTTCAGAAGATGCAAAAATTGAAATTTATGTAAATTTTTTCTTTTTTAAATAATATCTGTACATAATATAAAATATTTACGTAAATGAAATTAAAAAAAAAAAACATTATTCAAAAGTAGAGTGGCCATTAATATTTTGCTGTCGGGTGTACGTACAATAAATATTCATTGCTTGCCATTCGAATTTACTCACATATCTCTAAATTGGCATTCTAAATCATTATTTTGAATAATTATATAAAAGAATTTTATTTTTACACTTCCCGAAAATATTTCGGAATACACATTACTTTAATAATTTAAATTAAAACATTTTTTATCACGGATTCACTTATATAATTCAAAAATATTTAAAAAAAATTTTCATTTTAAAAAAATATATTACTTATTTCCCAACATCAGTCTTATTTTCAGTAAAAATATAAAGGGCAATCAAATATAATAAGTATTCTAGAATTTTGTGTGGAAACTTTGGCAAAAAAACCTAAAAAGTTTTGAATTTTAAAGTGAAATCTATACCTTAACCTCACTCAAATTTTTCTTGCTGAAAGACATTGTCACTCTTCAGAAAGAAAATACCCAATTAAATTAAAAATCAAAGCACTCGAGCATTCTCAACACATATTTTCTGTTACTCTACAAAATCTTCAAAATTGGGACTTCTGTTCACTCTAAGAGAAGAAAATAAAGAAGAAAATGAATTTTCTTTCTTTGCATTTTTAATATTCTAAGAATTTTTTTTTCTTTTTCAATAAAAATTGGAAATTTTTTGTTTAATTATTCCAAACATTTATATTACAAGTACTTTTTTTGTTACTTTTATTCGATTTGTATTTTTAGAAGTGGCATATTGTAAAATCGAATCGAATCGAATGATTTGAAAACAAAGAAATTTTTTGCAATTTTTAAACAATGTGTCATTTATGTTTATAATAAAAATTGTCTAAGAGATTATTTATTCAATTTTCTTTATAAATTACAAAAAAAAAGGGAAAAATCATTTAAAAATTAATTTTTTTTCTTCAATTTTATTAAAACGTTTTCCAATTTCTATCATGCTTTCTTTCTTTCATCCTTTTAAATTTAAAATGTGCCATTATAGTGAGAAAGTTTCCGAGAAAAAAAAAATTGGACACTCTCATACAAATTTTATAATTTTTATAAAATCAAAATTAAATTTAATCTTTTCTTCTTTCTTTTGCAGAAATTCTATTTTTTAAAAAAATTATTTACCTATAAACACCATAATGTTTTCCACTAGCACGATCACCACAAATCGAACATAAATGTTTTGAACCGCTTAATGGATGATTTGGTGGATATTGTGATGGTATATTATTACCACCATTACCGCCAATTTGATTTCCACCATTACCACCAGCACCAGTTGGTGATGCTGCACATGATGAATTCAATGATTGTAATGTACTATTTATTGTTGCAAATGAATTTGGACTACCAGGACCTGGTGAAAAACTTTCAATACTGTTACCATTTAATAATGATATATCAGGTTTCATTTCTGGTTTCATTTCCTGTGGTGATATCGGTGACATATGCCCAAATGCTTGTTCTAAAATAAAAATAAAAATAAAGTACATGTGTTATATTAATTAAAGAGTTGACCTTTTTCAATAATTGATTATAATAACTTAATTTAATTAATAGAAGTATACAGTTGATATTAATATAAAAAATTTTAAAATTTCATAAGTAAAAATAATTAATTACATATTATAAAGGATTCTTCCAATGGAAACCATATATTAAATTTCTTATGAAAATTTTCAATTTAATAAAGGTCTATATCTAGATTTCTATACTGAATTAATTTCAGTACAAGTGAGTGGGTTTCATAGATATTACATACATATAATACATACATACATATTTTCTAATTATACCTGGTAAAAAATATTATACACACTTCACTTTTTTAACAGTTTATTTTGTTTTTTAAATTTAGAATCAAATTCTAGCCGAAAGGTTAGATGATTCACGATTCACCACCTTTATATGTACATTAATTTTACCCCTTTTCATTTTAAAAAAAGGAATAAAATAAATTTTTAAAATTTTCCATTGGTTACAAAGATTTCTTCTCCCACTTACCTCAATTTATAAAACTTATTATCAGCAGGTTAAAAAAATATTGTAAATTCAAAAATGTCAAAATTTTCTCAAAACCTTTGTTAAATTTTATAATAAGCACAAATACATTGAAAAAGGCATAAATTTTATAACTCGCATGATAAAAAAATAAATCAACTTTAGCCTTTCAACTTTCTGTTGAATTATTTTAGATCATAGAATAGGCTTCAAGAAAAAAGAACTAATCATTTTAACTTTAATTATTTTGTTAATGGTAAAAAATTTTCGTTAAGTTATAAGTAAATGACATGGTTATTCTTTCCATAAATTCCATTCTGGAACAATCTGCGTGTATGTGTGCTCGTTTAACAATAAGAAGATATTTGAGTCTTGATATAGAAGTTCATTTTTATGTTCCTATTTAACTTTGAAAAATATCCCGTTTAAAATTAAGGAGTCTTTAAAAATTTCCGGTTTAAAATTAAGGAGCCTTTAAAAAATTCAGTCATGCGGGTGTATACCATTGAAAAAATTTGCGAAAATTAACTATGAAGACGATATCTGCCTCTTACCTCATAGATATGGAATATGCAGAACAAAATAAATATTTTCGAAAGGGAAGTTGCGGTAGTCAGCCTTAAGATAAACACCAATAAAATTAAATACCTGAGATTAAATACAATGAATAATAATTTCCTTTCAAGTAGGCCACAGCAAAATTGAGGACAAGCCAAAATTCAACTTCCTACACAAGATTGTGGCAGGCGATGGACAACCGAAAAAACACATAGACAAAAGATTGTCGAAAGTTTTTGGCAGGATATGGCCGGTATAGAAGTCGATCAACTTGGCAAAAAATATCCAGATCAAAATATTTAGTGTTAAATCAGTACTCCTGTACGGCTGTGAGACATCGTTGGTGAATGCAGCGTATATCAACAAGGCGTAAGTATACATCACAATAATACATCACGTAGGTATACATAAGAATAATATGTAGAATGTCCTGGTCCAGAACGATAACAAACACTGAACTATGGGAAATTGCGAACCAGAACTCTATAAACTTTTCGGAAGCCAAATAATAAGATAGCCAGATAGGTATTAAAGAGAAAAGAGAATAGAGCCTGTAACACGTGGCAACGAATTACACTTAAAGAGGCCGAATCAAATGAAAAATGTCGTTATTATGCTTAAATCTCACACTATACATAAAAAAATATACATATGCAATATATCTAGATAAGTACTAGATAGCATACATACTATAAATATTATCAGCCTACGCTCCATTATTTTTTTCTCATAATTTTCTATAGAGAACAAATTTTACAGTTAATATTTACCTTAATATAATATGAACAAACACACAGCATAGAAGATTTTAAAGAACAAAATTAGTATTGTACTCATGTGCATACATACATATATAAAATATTTGAACCTACATTCTCATATACATATGTAACAAACGTCCATATTTACCTTATAAACTTGTAAAATAGAAAATGAAAAAATAAAAAAAAAACAAGAGAAAACGTTTATATCCTTGGGATAAATTTTAAATTCTAGATTCCAGTCAGATTAATTTTGTGCATACTTACATTATATTTGAATGTACATTCAATTTATACAAAAATATTAATTTTGTACGTATGTATGTATATGGATAGCGAATAAATACCCTAATACATTAATAAATTTTGTATATAAATAGTATAACAAAATATAAAACGTGTGCGTCCTTGAATGCGATTTCTATGATGCACCATCGCATATTCAGACCCAAAGAGAAACGCATGCGTCTGATTTGTTTTTATTTAATTTTTTCCTATTTCTTTTTTTCTTCCTCTGTTTCTTATACTTTATTATATTTTGAATGTCTACGACAATAAAATGTTGATTATGTTAGATTTTCATTAACACTATATTACCTTCAAACAAAAATTGTTTTTGTTATATTTTTATATAACATTTATAAATATTCAAGCGGCAATAATAAGGGAAAATAGAGTAAAATAAAAAAAACAATATATGTACGAATTATAACACTATAGGTACATATGTACCTATACATAAAGAGAAGTATATTAAAAAAAATAGAAAATTGTATAACAAAAATAGAAAAGTAGCTAAACAAAAAATGTATGGAAAAATTATTTTTTCCCTAATATGTACGAGTATAATAAATATTTGTATTCATTAAGTAAAAGATACATTCATGACAGTAAAAAATTTAATAAACAATTTTTACATTTTTGTTATACAAAATGTCGTGAAGATTAAGATTTGAAATATTTTATATCAGTAATTATAAAGAATGCGTTAAAATGACTAAAACGTTTTAAAATTATTCGATCGCTTTATGATAATTATAATTGAACGAGTTCCTCATATTAAGTGTTTAGATGAAATGTTTCCAAAGTTTTGAAGTACAGAGACTAAAATTTTAATGGTACATTTATTGTGTACTTATTTTGACAAATTGTTCATGATTTGACATTTTAGTACTATAATTCTGACTTCAGTAAAAATTTGCATCCGCAATAAATTAAAAGCTAAATTTAAAACTTTAATTTAGTTAAATACCTAAAATTTATACGCTGAACGTACTGATCACATCAAGCTCATAAAATTTATATAAATATTTTCTGATAAAACTGTGTATAAAAACAGAACCTGGCAGCAAAAACGACTATTTACATTACAACAATATCTTATGTCATAATATTTTAATAAATAGTTTGCAACATTGTTTCTAAACATTTTGTACTTTATTCGAATTGATTGCTAAAGGTAAAGTACTTTATGTAGTTTACACAAAATGAAAAAATGTAGAGAACAATATACTAAAGAGAGAGAAAGAGAATATTTTTTTTTAATATATGAAAAATGTTGATAATGAAATATAATTGGTTTTTGGTATTGCTTTGCCTTGCCTTGTCTCATATAATCAAATTTGACCTTGATAATCCATTGTAAATGTTTGTGCATGTATATGAATATGGTCTGTACATTTAGAATATCACAACTATAAATATATACGTATATATAGAATATAACTTTACTTGTATATGTGATGTTATAAGCACTTAAATATCATCCACACATATATTATAGTAATATACAGGTATATAGTATGGGGGACAGAATTATTAACTCGATTTTAAGGCAACAAAATTATTCTATAATTGTTTTTGATATGCTTTTTTTTTCTTTTTAAATATTTTGCCTTCATAAGGGGAAGTTAATATAATTTATCATTATATATACGTATGTGTATGTACATGTATATGTATATGGAAATATTTTTTTCTTATTTTTTTTTTATTTTTTATTTTTAATGAATTAGGTTTGTATTTTATAAGTTATACTCGCAACCGATGTAGGTATATCTATGAGTATATTTTGAAAGAAAGATGATAAATATAAGATCAAAAATTTTAGATTATATTGTTATAGTTTATTTAATTATATCTCAATCAGTATAACCATCAGCCGTGAATTTTTGCATGTTTACTACACACTAAAAAAAATATATGTAAATATAATAGATTTAATGTTTACTCTGATTTTTCTTAATATGTATACATACACATGGTTACATATATATATTTGTGATAATTTTACATTAAATGTATACATAGTTTTGGGGCATCCCAAAACGTATTTTACGTACACATGTGTAAACACTCATAACAATTACATAACAAGAAATGAAATAATTGAAAATTTTTTTGCTATTAATTTGAAAAAAAAAATCTTTCTTAATATAAAACAATAAATAATTGTAACCATCATTTTAGTGACAAAATCACTTTTAGCTTAGGAGAATCGTTCAAACCAATTTGAAGGTATGACATCCGGACATTTGAAAATATGATATCTGGGCATTTACGGAAAAGCTGTTAACAAAAACTAAGGAATTTATTGAAGTCTACCAAAACCAAATTTAAGAAACAAGAGAGAGATAAAGAAACAAGAGAGCGTGCATACAATATTACAACTATTATTTTAGGTAAACCACAACACCAGGGGCCTTACTACGTAATTTGATTTTCGTAAAACGATTCGTATTTCCAAAAATGGTAAGGTAGTATCAAACAATTTGCATAGTACTACTTCTCATTTCTGCAAATACGAAAATCGTTTTACGAAAATCAAATTAGATAGTAAGGCCCCAGTTGTAACAAGATTTGAGAAGAATTAAGCAAAATAAAATGAAAGAGAAATTCAAGAGAGCATATATTGAAATTAAGCACAGACTGAAGCACTTAAGTTATACATTATACCATTGTGAATACGGTTTATAGCAATACACAGAAGACAATTTTTGTAATTACACAACGAACTATTATTTTTTAGAAGCGCTATTGAGTTATAGGTTTTTTTTGAGGCCCCTCAACAAAAAAATGGTTTCCACTGTGTAATTTCACAAATTGTCTTCTGTATATCGTAATAAAACATATACATAATTGTTAC